ACAACTCATAGAGAGGGCCACAAACTGGGATTTAGCACTTGCAAGGTAAGTTTTCTTAAAAAAAAAAGTGAAGTAAAATCCCTAAAGTTGCACAACTTGTTTATAGGCCAAAGCAAAGCCGCTATTAACTCCACTGCAAAGGAAATATCGGCTTAGATGGGCTAAAGAACATAGACAATGGACACCTCGACAATGGTGTGCAATACAATGGAGTGATGAGGCCCGATTCGAAGTTTGTGTTGGTGTCAGTCGCAGTAGAGTTATTGGCAAAAAAAATGAAGCATTCCATGTGAAAGTTCCAGCATCCATTATGGTCTGGAGCAGTATGTCATCAAAAGGAGTAGGAAAACATTTTATTGATGGAAATGTGGATACAAACAAATATTTAGCAATTTTACAAGAATCGCTTTTACCAGTGATGGAAGAATGTTTGACATCCGGCCAAGATTTTGTGTTTCAGCAAGATGGTACAGCGTGCCATACCTCAAAAAAGGCTATAAAATGGATGGAAGAAAATAATGTACCACTTTTAAAATGGGTTTTTAGCAGTCCAGATCTGTCACCTATTGAAACTTTGTGGCACGAGATGAAAAAGGTTCTACGACAACATCCTGCTCGTACAATCACCGTAATAAAAAATAAAGGTGATGTTACCCAATGGTAATATTTCAAATGTTGCTTTATTAACTTCGCGCATTTATTCGCACATTGTTTATTTGTTCAGATTTTCTATTAGTTATAGGTCTAAGTGATTTCAAAAATGTATTTTTTACGACTAGACTGTTTCTAAAACGTTTTCAAGAAAATAAATTGTTTTAGATGTAAATAGTTTCGTCATGTTTTGTTTATAAATGCATATTTTGGTACTAATCTTGAAGTGGGTCAACTGAAGTGGGAAGGGGCTCGTAGACTTAAGCCGACGAAACTCGCCTCTTTGGATCGGTTTTATTGATGCGCTCCTCTTATCTGTTTTAAACAGAGTTTCCAACGTTTACCTATGTACGTTGAACTTCATTAAATTGGGCACGACCAGCTGAACAATTAGTGATGAATAAGATAATTCAAAAAAAAATGTTTGACACTCTGATCTTGAAACCAAGGCATTAGCGGATCTATGATTACTCGAACTATTCGTCTTAGTGTGCGCCCATACTGAATGCGCGGTGACTGCAGCCTAAGGCGGGCGCGGCGAGCGGCGGCGTCTGGTGTCCACAATGACACGCGAGCTCTTGTACTGGTTCGACGTATTATCAGAAGTTCCAAACTATGAAGGACGATTTGGCATTCTTATTAGACAGTCCAATCCTGAGATGGGAGGTGTTGAACATTCGAGATGGTGTACGCGAAATAAATAAAAACAGAGAAGCAACTGGTAAACTTTTTGAGTACACTCGAATGCACGTGTCAATATTGGACGACATCTTAAGTAAAATATCTGTGGTGTGGATGTTTACTTTGCCAACTGGGTGGTTTAGATTGACTTGCACTTATAAGTGTGCGTCCATAGTGAATGCGCGGTGACTAGGGCCTAAGGCGGGTACGGCGAGCGGCGGCGTTGTGTCCACAGTGACACGCGAGCTCTTGTGCTGGTTCGACATATTATCCGAAGTCGCAAACTATAGACAACGATTTGGTATTTTTACTAGTCATTCAGATCCTGAGATGGTAGGTGTTGAACATTCGAGATGGTATACACGAAATAAATAAAAACAGAGAAACAACTGTTGAATTTTTTCAGTTGTATGAAGAACTGAGATGATACTCTACCAAATTTTTTGAGTACACTCGAATGCCCATTTGACTACATCCCAAGTAAAATATTTGTGCTATGCTGTTTACTTTGCCAAATAGGTTGTTTAGATTAAATTGCTCTTATAAACAATTCACTATCAGCCATTACAATACAATAATTCTCATGCATACGCCGAGCGACAACACAACTGGTTTGTTACCGCCGTCACCGTGCGTTAGGTCGCTTGCTGAATAGGCCAGTGGTTTGGCCAGAAAGCGCGGAAGAGGAACCTTTGAACACTACACTATGGACGCAAAGGCGCGTTTTATAATGTTTGAAATTTCGCGCCCGTCGTCGCTACCGCGCAAGGCTCGGAATATGGATGCACACTTAGAACCACGCGTAGAATCCCTTGAAGTTTGGCTTCACTACTTTATTGTACTAGCATAAGATAGCTCACATGGAGTGCTGTATTAGTAATTTGTTTTGCCTTGGAATGAAGGCTTAGGAAAAAAATGCTATATTCAAGATGTTATTCTGGCAATGCACATTTTAATACAAAAATAAATTAATTTCAAATGAGTAATCACAATAAATATTACGTGAAGTATCTCACAGCCTGTGTGGCATACCTTAAAGTATATGCTTAGAGTCATGCAACAATTTTATGTCGATTGACTTGTCATTCACTTCAAGGCATTTTGGTAAAGAACGTTATTTGTTGTATTACTCGTAGCATTATTTGTTTAGATTTTTGGAAGCTACTCTCATATCCCGACCCTTACTAGTCCTTTGATTTGCGTTTATTGGTCATTTCAAACTATAAGGTAATGACAAAACAAACAAATTATTATAAATCTAAGCAGAGAGCTATGACTGATCTAATAAGAACGTAATTACTTAATAACAATTTATTCTATTTTACTTAATGTTCTTAAAGTAAACCAAATTTCAAACCAATAAATCCAAACCAATTTCCTATTTATAGATCGAAACTCTTAATGACACTGGACCGAACTAACCAACTAAGAACAGTACTTTAAATCAAAACCAAAAAAACAACCTAACTGGCATAAAGCTAACCTAACCCAATGACTATTTTATCTCAGAATTTTAACAGTCAATTTCAACAAAACATACTTAATTAGATTTTCTTGCGACAACAGATCTTCCCCAAATTTTAATCAACTCCAAATTAAAACGTTGAGTAGCTGTAGAAGCATACAATCGGCTGATAATTTCAAATACCTAGGGGTATTCATAGATAACGTCTAAGATGGAATAAACATATTGAAAATTTAGTAAGAAAATTAAGATACCTTATTCCGAAACTCAAATACTTTAGCAGTTTTTTAAGCGAAAAATATCTACACATGATACATCATAGCCTTGTCCAATCATTACTATCTTACGGAATCTTAGCATGGGGGGAGTCATGAATAATTATTATAAAAAGATTGAAATTACGCAGAAAGTTATGTTGAACAAAAATAAATGTTATCCCTCAGAAAATTTTTACAATGAATATCAGCTTTTCGACTGCCGGCAAATCTATTTTTATCATACAATAATATATTTAACAAAAAATACAAAATTTTTACTTTCTATCAGCAACAACCATCAAACGCGATTCAAGGAAATATCTGCACTAATTTCTAAACTTAATAAAACTGTCAGCCAAAGATCATTCTATTTTCTATGCTCAAAATAATATAATCTTATTCCTGGAAACCTTAAACATATAATATGTAAATAAATGTTTAAAAAATGAATTAAAATCATGGATCCTAAATTAACCAAGGCTACAAACCCATAAGTTTGTTGACACTAAAAACCTATATGTTATTTGATCATAAAATGATGCAAATTTATACATGTGACTAGTATACTTAAAGAAAATTTGTTACGTTAATATAACTCAACTTCGGTTAAAACCCAAGCACAAGTGTACACTTTTTTGGGTATATTATGTTTATTGGACATTGCCGTTATTATTTACACGAGAACTTTGTAATTGGACCAATAAACATTATTATTATTAGTATTATTAAACTTGAAGTGAAAGAGAACAACAAATTTAAATTAAGCGATCACGCTGAAAAAAAATCGGAATTCAGTAAATGGCAGATGCAAATGCTTTATTTATTTTAAGTAAGGTTACTCTTTTCGGCCGGACCATCGACTGAGCGCTCCCGTGTCAGACAACTCATGCGGAACAAAACACTAAACAAATATAGATGAAGACTACCACGCTAAGAAAACGAATGTCGGAATGCAGTAAATTCACGACGCAAATGCCTCATCCATATACCCTTGCTCAGTTTGTCCGGACCAGCGACTGAGCGCTTCCGCGCCAGACAACTCATGTCAAATTCCATTAGACCGTTTGGGCTGTAGCCCGTCAAATAGATATTTTAAAGTTAATTTCTAGGATAAAAGGTAGCCAATGTTCTATTCCCGGCTATAGTCAAACACTGTACCAAATTTCATCCAGATCTGTTCAGCCATTGAGCCGGATTCATTAAACAAAGGATATCCTTGTACTTGCAAATTTTGAAGGAAATCCTCCAGATAGTATTTATAATAATTTGAAGTAAATGCTTTTGCTTTTTGAGTATAAGCATATCCTTCAAAGCAGTGACATAAGTAAAAGGATATTCATAATCTTCACCTTATACTTGGCATAGGAAGCATATCCTTCAAAAATTCTAAGTGTGGTCAGTAGCAGACTCTCTTCGTAACGAAAGGTGGTCAAACGATGATGGCGGAAATTGTGGGTGTTAGGGATGTTAAAACGTACAAACCTTGTTTACCTTCATTTGGTCGTGACTTTAAAAAATTATATCGGTTCGACGAAGCAAATGTACAATGGCTTGCGGACAGATTTTTAATTGAGAATGAGGAAACTCGAGGAGGAGCACTTTCATGTATTCATAAAATGAAGATATGTCTACGCTATCTCGGTGACCCTGGATATCAACAAGGTATTGGTCAGGAACTTGGTGTTAGTCAAGCCACGGTATCTCGGACTGTGGATAGAGTTGTGAACAACATAGTTGCACAGTCGAACGAATGGATCAAGTTTAAAACTACCAACCATGAACCAATGGAGGCCAAGCGGCAGTGCATGTATAAATTTCCGGCAGCAATTAATGTAATTGATTGTACACATATAGGAATCCCGAAACCAAATCGCCATGGAGATGAGTATATCAACCGAAAAGGGAAACCTACTTTAACTGTGTAAGCCAGTTGTGATGCCAGAGAGATGTTCACAAGTGTTGATATCGGTTGGCCTGGATCAGTGCGTGATTCCAGAATATGGAGAAATTCACAGACTAGATCACAACTAATAAATAAAGCAAATGGCGATGGCGGTTATGGTATTCAGCCATGCATTATGACTCTCTTCAGAAATCCTACTCCAGGTGCAGAAATAAATTATAATAAGCTTTTAAAACAAGAAAGAGTTATAATTGAACGCTGTTTTGGCCAACTGAAACGCCGGTTTAATATCCTACAGTATATTTGCCGCGTGAAGTTGGAAAATGTGCCGAAAATAATTATTGCTTGTATTGTACTCCATAATATTGCGAAGAGCTTGGGCGATCCTGACTTTAAGTTAGTTGAACAAGACCCAGATGAAGATGAAGGAAATCATGAGAATGAAGAACTTCCTCTCCGCCAACTAGGTCAACAAATAAGAAGGACACGTGAATATTATAATAAATAGTTTTACTGATTAAAGTGTATTTATGAGTTATAATAAGTTTTATTTTCGTGAACATCATAAGTTACAGGTGGCTTCTGACGCTGCATCGTTTATAATTTGGTTTTATAATACTCTTGTTGTAAAATACTTGTTTGGTACTGCTGTAATAGCACTAGACGTTGCAGTTCTTTTGTAATTAACCCTTTGGTTTCGTATTTCTCTGTTGCTAATTTTCTTTTTGGTGGCCATGTCTTCTGAATTGCTGGCGCTGTTATACTGTTTGCTCACTTCCTTCTTCTAGAACACTACCAACCTGAATGGCACCTCTAATTTTCCCAATTGTAGGATTACAGTCACCTTCCATAGCTTTCATCAACTCTCTTTCCCAATCTAACAATTTAATTGCTTTATTACCAGTTTTTTTAGATCTGTTTTTCTCTTCAATCTTGATTTCATGTCGTTGATTTTTTTAATAAGCCTTTAGTATTTAATTGTTTACCGAATGTTGATTCGTATTTTTTCAACATCTTCTTCAAGGCATTTTTGGAACTTGTGACTTTTACAAAATAATGGAAGCAATGGCAATTTCATCTGCGATGAACTGCAGGTCGTTGCTATTATTTTCTATAGTTTCCTCATCACTTGAGGATGACATGCTTATTAATTTGATAAAAAACTGTATCCAGTAAAAATCCGGAACGGTCTGTGTAAGCTCTGGAGTACAACTGTCAGTGATGCTAAGTGAACGAACTCCCACGTCAACTACAAGCTGGAACAAGTCAGGACATGTCGCTCAAGATACAAATACCAGTCAACATTTTACTTCTTCTTGGAGGATATCCTCGCGAGTATAAGGTAATCATTATGAATATGAAAACAAGGATATGCTTATAATTTTTTCTCCGAAGCCAGACCCTATACTTTTACCTTATGCTTCCGAGGATATGCTTCTCTTTTATGAATATGGCTCATTGTCACGTGATTGAGTAACAAAAGTTGACACTTTCTTATTTGCAATGTTAGTAGAGATACACATTACTCCAAAGCCCTAGCGACTAATTTGTTTTCTTACTTTTGCCCGTAGCTCCGCCGATTGGATCAATTTTCAAACACGACAGAGCTCTTTAGTCCCTTGACATATTAATAACCTTATGTCACAATTTCATCAAAATTCAAGCTGTAGTTTTTCAACCATCAAACATTTTAACAAAATTAACGCTCTCTTTCAATAGTCCCGCAAAATCTTCCGGTTGAACCCTACTACATAATTAAACCACTTTTCCAGTACTGAAAGTAAAGTGGGTGAACCATAAGCCACACTAACAAATTAACAATTATTCCTTTATTTACTGGATAAATGAATCCAATAAACATTGTTCCATTATGTTATTTAAAAAATATTTTCCTTATTGCAGAGTTTTAATTGATTATCCAGAACGGCTTCTTAAGGAGCAAGGGTCCATACAAGACCAATTCAATAAATCAACCGTTAAATTCAAAACCAACGCTGATATTATTATATATATATATTATTGAACTACATATAAATGCCTTTCATAGTAATGAAATATTAGATACAAGAATGAATTCTCATAAAAATACTCAATGAAAATTACTTTAACGATATCGCGAAGCTACGAATATACAGGGTGTAAAGGTTGTAGTGGATCAACCGAAGTCAGGTGATAGAGGGCCTCAAAACATATCGAATGAACCCCTATATGTGTGGTCCGAAGTTTTATAGTTCAGAAGATATTTGCAATTTTGTGATATTTCGAAAAAAACGGAATAATGCACTTTCAATGGCAATTACAGCTAAACCATTAGGTTTAGGGCTGTAATTTTTTTCAGAGATGAGCTAAAAGGTTAGTTTCAGCAATGGTTATGTCATATTTTAACAGAGCTAATTAGAAATCAACGAAAAAAATCTTAGATTCATTTTTTGCGAAAAATCTCTTCCATCCCTCAACTTTGGAGGGCGGTAAAAAAATTAAGGTTGAATTTCATTATTCATTTTATTATAAAAACTACTTCAATCCATGTAGAATAAACCCTAAGAATTTCAACTTGCTATGATAAGTGCCTTACCTTAAAAAATCTGTATGTTTGACGCAGGTGGGTATCTACACATGTAGACAAGAAATTTTATTTTATGAGCTACGGTCCAAACGAATTGATGGATTTTGACATAATATGAGACACTGTTAGGTTCGTCCTAGCAGTGCGAGTGATACTGTGTGTATTAACATTTTGTAAAATCAAAATGGAGGATTTTTTTACGCAAATAGCCAAGTCAGCTTAATGAGCTTGGGTATTCAACTCGGCATTCCAGGTGCGGAAGCATTCAATCTTCGGTCCGACCGAAATTACTATGTCAGGCAAATGGTCCAGCGCGGAATTTGTATCTAAGGTTTGGCATCTGAGCAGAATCATGTCATATTCTCCGCGAGATTATGCAAAAAAGCATTACTATTATGTATTATGGTGCTACCCTTGGAAATGCTCGAGCAGCTGCTCGCATGTATCGAGAGAATGTGGTTGGAAGAGGCGGACCACAACTGGCGGTAGATCCCGACTACCGCGTTTTTCTACGCGTCCATAATGCATATACACTTGGCACTCATCGCCAGCTAGGAGCGCTGAGGGTACACCCAGTAGGAATGGAAGGAATAGAAGATATAATAGAAGCAACCGAGGGAGATTCCTCTATAAGCACCAGAGCCATTGCCCGAAGCCGAAACGTGTCCCATACTGCAGTGCACACAATACTATACTCGGAGAACAAGCATACTTACCATGTACAAAAAGTACAAGAATTGCTTCCAAGCGACTATGCACAACGGGCTGAATTTTGTGAGGATATGTTGAGAAGGTGCGAAGAGGATGAAACATTTTTCGACGGCATCTTATGCACAGATGAATTCAACTTTAACCAAAATGTGATATTCAACATGCAGAATTTCCATTCATGGAGCGTGGAAAATCCACACGCTAATGCCGACACAGCTTTCAACGTCAGTTCGGCGTTAAGCGTTAATTTATGGCCTGGAGTACTCAACAAAAAATTAATTGAACCATATGAATTGCCCGCCAAATTGGATGATCAGTCATATCTTGCTTTTATACAATGCAAGTAGATGTCTTATGGGGATTCGGTCTCAAAACTTCCAAAATCCGCCACCAGAGGCGCTGGCGTCGCGCGCCATTGACAGGTTGTTGGACGGAATCTGTAATCGAAATTCATGAGTTGGGGATTCCGCCGCTAGATGGCGCTGTCAAACCAAACGGAATCTGTGTGTCATTGGACACCTGTCATGCGTCATTGGGCATCTCACGCATAGATGGCGTTACACAACGGAATCTATGTGTCATTGGACAGCTGCCATTGATGGGTTGGGCATCTCGCGCATAGATGGCGCCGATGTCGCACCTGTCTGGTGTTGGCGTGGATTACGGGGGGCAACGTGTATACAGGGGTGCATCGAAAAATAGCGGATCGATGGACCGACGGTATATCGTTAAATCGTATATAGCAAGGCGTGACCTAAATAGCGTGGTGGGCTCCTCTGGTCGGTCGGTCGGTCGGTCAGAATGTCTCATAACCTGTATACGATGTACTGTTATTATTATACAGGATGATACCGTTCAAAATGAAACTTTATGTAGTAGAATGATGGTGGGGGGTGGGGAGTCGAAGGAACCGAATGTTTTTTTTTTTTTGTTTGACAACAGGCTGAATACGAAATAAACATAGCTTTCTGAAAAATGTATTTTTTTAATGATATACAGATACAAGTTTAGATAACAGAGTTTTTAGTTGATGTAACAAATCCTCGCTGGGGCATGGTACTCCAAATAGAGTCCAATGAAATGGTCCGGTCGCAACAACTTTTCTTGTAAATTCATTAAATTTATAGTAAGTTGCGTGACGGAAAAAGTAAATATGGCCATCAATCCATCGAAATGCGAGAGAAATATCTTCAGGTAATTCAGGAAATATGTCTCTTATCCGTCCTCTGTTCAACACATCAGTAAAATCGTTAGAAAATTCTATATATGACATATTATTATAAAAGGTATAGGACCGTCCTGCGTTTGATTGAAAAATAGCATTGATTCGAGCCCTATCGGGTATATCAATTGAAAAATTATCAAGAAATTTAATGGTAGGGAATGATGCTGAGAATTAGTTGTTTGGAGACACAATGGTAATCAAGTCACCGTTTGTTGATTGGAAAATATGTTGTAAAGTGTATTGACGTAATTCTGTAGGAACATAATCGACAAGAAGTTCAGGCTGAGATGGGATAATCATTTCGTTTAAGTCTAGTTTCCATATAAACATATCATGTGCAATATATAATCGGTAATTTGAAAACTCTGGAGCAATAGCTAAAAACATAAAATCTGGAATAATATCACACAAATTTTTGAGGATCGGCTGCTTACGAGTTGTAGATCTTATAGTTGTTGTTGTTTTTGGTATGGCTGATGCGGTGGTAGACGTTGGGATTGAATCATATTTGTTTTTTCTTCCATATAGATATTGTACTGCATTTATATCATCAACATCTAGACCACGAATCTCATGCTGATAGAAGGCAAACATAATAGCATTCGGAGAAGCACTATGTGCTATGCCGAGGGCATGTCCAATTTCATGAACCAACACCATAAGAAAACTAGTTTGATTTTTGGGTATATTAGGATTATTTCCAAAATACCAGCGTTCATTTATATCTAAATGGATTTCTCTACAGGTGCCGCTAGAGTCAAGAAAGTATGCATGTCCTAAAACGCCGCCAGCATCATCTAATGTCAATGGACATTCATCATTACCCATACAGTTTGCGCTAAAATAATGAGTCTTGCTAACCATGGTTATAGTAATATCAGGAGGATATAGAGTGGGATTGGTAACCATTGTAAATGTTAAGTTTGAAACATTTTGCCACATCTGAAAAGCCATTTCTGCATCTTTTTGGGCCGCAGGTGTGTTTCGAGGGAAATACCATTTCAGG